GAAGAGAGATGGACACAAATATAGAGAGATGGACACACACATAGATAGATGGTCACCATAAAGAATTGGATAAACATATAGAGAGATGGGTATAAACATAGAGAGAGACAGAGACAGACAGAGAGATACAGAGGGAGAGACAGAGCGGTTTATCCAACCATTTGTGCAATCGGTGGTATGCACTCCATTTATTGTCCAGCTAGGCATTATGGAATTCTAAAGGAGGTGATGGTTACTTAGTCAATATCGTGCCACCGTTAATTTTCTCAAACAATTAGACCAATGGCAGTAGGATGACTAATTCTACTTTAGTGGTCCTTGTCTACTTTACGAGCGGTCCTGGGCGAGTAAGGTGATTCCTTACCGGCTCACGTGCACCTTGTCAATAAACAAACACTTTCATATGTGATCTTCGTGATCCCCTCACACAACTCACACAAAGCCATCACAAAATGCACACTGCCATCACAAAATGCACATTATCAGTGTGAGAGTTTTTATTTCAAGGTTGACGTTTGAGAGTTTTGAGATGCGTCTCACAAAACCGTCACAAAAGATTCACGAAAATGTGTGATGTTTGAGACGATTTTTGTCATGATCACAAAACGTTCTCAAAAAGTGCTACAATTCAACAAATATTCACAAACCATGTGTGACGAATAAGAAGATGGCGTGAGACGAATGAGATGAAGGCGGCGAAAAGAGCAAAACTCTCACAAATCGTCACACAAATCGTCTCACTTTTTGTGACGCCCTAAATCGTCACAAAACGGAGCACAGGGATATAGTGCCATCCCCCCAATAGTGCTATAGCTAAAGGTATGTCGCGCTATAGCACTATATCGTAGGAGGCACTGTATACGATTCCGTATCATAGTCGGCAAATCATCATCCACCAGCTTCTCGCACGTGTAAAACATTGCGTTTTGGTCACCACGTGTAATACATTGCATTTTGGTCGCCACGTGTAAAACATTGCATATCGATCCACACGTGTAATACATTGCATTTGGGTCCACACGTGTGATGTGTTTGTCGCGCGACAAGATCTACAAAAGCTGTATGGGTGGCTACCCATACTAGAATCAACCTCTAAAAAATTAACAAAAATTAATCTAGTTCCAGTATGGCTGGCCAGCCATACAGCTTTTGTAAATCTTGTCGCGCGACAGCCATTACATATTACAGGGTCGCTCAATAGTGCCTACTTTAGTAGTGTTTCCTTCTATATAGTGCTATGGCTCACTCTCTGGCACAGGTTTTTATACGCTCACATGTATCATCCGGCATGGTTCAGTACTCAAAGGATGAAGTTATTTAGTTGTGTTATACAGGCTTTGTTGTGTTTGTGTTAGCAGTGTGCATTGTCCCCAAATATATGTATTTGAGCCTCCTTTCTATAGTGCCAACCTCCTAATAGTGCCATAGCTAGAGGTATGTCACGCTATAGAACTATATCGTAGGAGGCACTGTATACGATTCCGTATCATAATCGGCCAATCATCATCCACCAGCTTCTCGCACGTGTAAAACATTGCGTTTTGGTCACCACGTGTAATACATTGCATTTTGGTCGCCACGTGTAAAACATTGCATATCGATCCACACGTGTAATACATTGCATTGGGTCCACACGTGTGATGTGTTTGTCGCGCGACAAGATCTACAAAAGCTGTATGGGTGGCTACCCATACTAGAATCAACCTCTAAAAAATTAACAAAAATTAATCTAGTTCCAGTATGGCTGGCCAGCCATACAGCTTTTGTAAATCTTGTCGCGCGACAGCCATTATATGTTACAGGGGGGTTGCTCAATAGTGCCTACTTTAGTAGTGCTTCCCTCTATATAGTGCTAGTTATTTAGTTGTGTTATACAGGCTTTGTTGTGTTTGTGTTAGCAGTGTGCTTTGTCCCGAAATATATGTATTTGAGCCTCCTTTATATAGTGCCATCCCCCCAATAGTGCCATAGCTAGAGGTGCTTGTCATTCTTGACATTGTGAGCGCGAAAGACGCGAGGAAAGTATATTGAGGGGTGCTGTTGCGGCAATTCTGCCGCGGGGCACCGAGCGACCTGTAATGACGGGAATCCACCCGTATTCTTTTACTCCTCACAAGTCTGCTGCCTCCCCCTTCCTATCTTCGGGGATGGCTTCTTAAGTACACGTTCCCCGGGATGAGTCGGCTATCCCCAACCCTCCCTCCTGTAATTTCCCCTTCGATCCAGCTTCCCCTTGCCCCACCGGTAGCCACCCCCTCGTGCCATTTTCCCTTCGCGCCCTCGGCCGGCGACCTGCGCGGTCTTTCTGCCCCTGCCCGAGCCCCGTGCGGCCTATGGTTTCCCTTCTCCCCGGTGGCTGGCACCCCCAATTCCCCGCGCGTGCTGTCTCGCTCCCTCCTTCCCGCCTTTCGCTTGCCCGTCCTTCGGCGGTATACGGATGCGCTCCGCCCCGTGGTACGCGTGTCCAGCCGCCACCTGGCAACCGAATGCCTCGTAACACTGCTTGAGACACACAGCAATCTCACAAAACTGGGCTTCGTCTCGTTGAAAAATTACGGAAGATGGTTGGTGTGGCATTGAAATTGAATTTTTTCATTCTTTTGAGATTGACCGGTGTTTTGAGTAATCCCACGACCTCAAATTGACCAAGCAAAGTCCCAGGGCACACATCAGTGCAGATTGCAGCACAAGCAGTTGAGGACACCAAGTACAGCTTTTCGGCTCCAGCTTCAAGTACGTCTTGCCGCCACAATTTTCGATTTCCTGCTTTAGGACGTGCACAGCAGTCAGAAAACAGTCATAGAGGCTTCGTGAGACTGGAGTCTTGAAGCATTCAAGCGTCACCCTAGAAAGGCTGCACTCCAGAATACATTTTGCTTGCTTTGCATCATTCTCACCTCCAATCAATCGTTTTGGGAATAGGCCAGGCTGGTCGCATTAGAAGAATCCCTCCGTGTGTAATCATGGCTTCTCAGAAGACAGCGTTTGAAGTCTCGAGCCCATTGGCGAGACCCATGAATTCACGCATTTCTGTGCAACTCCAAGAGAGCCCGTGCCAAGCACTTCAGAGTCGCAGGACACAGAAGGTCGCAAGGCAGAATATCGATGCAAATGGAAGTGGACAAAAGCAGTAAGCAACGAGATAACTCCAAACCCCGGCAGACTCATATTTCCCCGGAATTGGCAAATCAAACCATTAATGATGCTATTACATACTCAGGTGGGGACGTTGTGGTTATGGCTAGAACCTTTGCAAGTGGATTTTGTGATGCATTACAACAATGCTATGGTTCAGAAGAAATATCAGATGTGTTTACTGCTTGCGGCTCAGGTTTAAACGGCTTAATTGGATTGCAAGTCGCTGTAGAGCTGCAGAAGAGAGGTTATGCACCAGCGGTCTATGCTGCAGAGCAATCTAAGCATGCTAATTTCCGATATGTCTGCGATGAAGCCGGAATCGACTTGCACGACTTCATTCCCAGCACGCTAGAGTTTTATTATGACATCGTTGTAGATGCCTTCCTTGGAACTGGCTTTGATGGGGGGGACATTCGACAACAGTACTGGACTGTTTACGAGATGCTAATCTCAACTCGGCTTGCGATTGTGAGCCTTGATGTACCATCTGGCTGGGATCTTTCGACGGGTCCAAGAAAAATTGATGTGACAGCAGATTCGTTTATCAAACCCGAAGTGCTAGTGTCTTTAGAAGCACCAAAGCTTGGATCAAATGTGTTTGCCGGGGGCTACCACTTTATAGCTGGTCGACATCTTCCTCAAAGCTACTTTTGGAAAAGGGAATCTCTGTTCCGGCTTTTCCCGGCGAGGAGTCAAACTGCGTGCTCATGTCAAGTAACCCGTTTCGCTTCGAAGGTGCTAATGGAGAGACATATGGGCGACCTGGACAATTCAATGCCACGCTCTACACGAAAAACCCTACCCGAGAATGGGTCGATATTGACAAGCACGATGACCTGTGGGACGAACTAGACTAGCATTAGAGTGTGCTCAGTGAGTTTAAGAGTGGAAATCATTGTCAAGTGCTATACAGGGACTCTAGCTGCGAAAAAACGCTGTCTACTGGCCAACTTTTTTGCTTAACGCGACGCGCCACATAATGTAATTCGACGTGGCCTGCGTCAGCGCGGAAGCTGTGACTTTTCCTGTTTGTCGCCATACGAACCCACACGCAACACCGGTGACACAGGCGGAGGCCATGTATCGAACGTTTGGCGGGTCATATCCAAGTTTTGATTTCCCTAAGTGTGCAATGCCGAAGGCACCAGACGCGATGAGTAGTGCAGATATGGACCCGTGGCCTAGGCGTTGCTCCAACATATTCTGAATCATACCCCTAAATATAAGCTCCTCGGTAACGCCGTTCATGAATATGCCTAGGAAAGTGGCGGCTTCTTTGGCCGCGTCTAAACGAGGTGGCGTCTTGACGTCAGCAAACTGGGTTAGGGCGGCAAGTGGAACGGTGATGAGATCAGAGGCAGCACCCACAGCTAGCGCTATCAGCACATCGACTGGGGTTACCTTGAAAGTGTAGCCCAAGTCACGAGCGTGGGCCAGCTTTGAAAAGGGCGTAGAATTGTGAAGCAGTTCACGACTGTCAAAGCTGCGGTGAACAAGCCCCAGGCTGTAACCTTTCCAGTCGGTGATATGTCCGATGACAACAGCTTAAATTCCAGTGGAAGCCAGATGCAAAGAACGGTAATCAGGTCGGCCATTTCGGAGCGAAGCGATGAGTGGTCGTCTGGCTTTGTGAGCTGAAGCAGTGACGGGATGAGGATATACGCTACGTAAATTGCCAATATAGGGACTGCGCGGCGGCGACCGTCCATGATGTTGGCTGCACCGGCGAGGCAAACTGGAACCAAAACTAATAGCACCGTCCAAGCTGCTTGCCATCCATGTCCAAATTCGTTGACAAATGTCGAAGAAGAGTAAGCCAGGAATAAAAGAGTCCAGCACATCGAGGCTGAGGACTCCAAAGTATGGGCTCGGCCGCCTGGTTCTGGCATTTTTGGAAAGCCGCGGTCAGTCATTGGCTCCATGCTGAAGGATGGAACGAAGATTCTACTCGAACAGTGAAGTACAACACGGTTGAAGCTGTTTCAAATGTCTCTGCGGTAGCCGGAAAACGCTCTTGTAGAAAGCAGGGTTGCCTTGAGCACTTTGTCGTTGCTCGCTGCGATTTTTGCGTTTCTAAAAGGTTTACTAGGAAGGTACTCTTGCTGGGCCTTGCACGTGTTCGGGTGTGTGTGAACATCCGCACACGTTGCAGACTTACAGTGTATGCAGGCGAAGTAGGGGGGGTTTTCTCTGGGCAGAACGGACCGGTTGCAGGGGGGGGTCGCTCAATTGTGCCTACTATAGTAGTGCTTCCCTCTATATAGTGCTATGGCTCGCCCGCTGGCACAGGTTATCACAAGCTCACACGTGTATCATCCGGCATGGTTCAGTACGCAGTACAGCTATCCATGCTGTCTTAAAGGAGACCCTGACCAAAGGATGTTGTGTTATGCAGGCTTTGTTGTGTTTGTGTTACAAGTGTGCTTTGTCCCCAAATATATGTATTTGAGCCTCCTTTATATAGTGCCATCCCCCCAATAGTGCCATAGCTAGAGGTATGTCACGCTATAGCACTATATCGTAGGAGGCACTGTATACGATTCCGTATCATAATCGGCCAATCATCATCCACCAGCTTCTCGCACGTGTAAAACATTGCGTTTTGGTCACCACGTGTAATACATTGCATTTTGGTCGCCACGTGTAAAACATTGCATATCGATCCACACGTGTAATACATTGCATTTGGGTCCACACGTGTGATGTGTTTGTCGCGCGACAAGATCTACAAAAGCTGTATGGGTGGCCACCCATACTAGAATCAACCTCTAAAAAATTAACAAAAATTAATCTAGTTCCAGTATGGCTGGCCAGCCATACAGCTTTTGTAAATCTTGTCGCGCGACAGCCATTACATGTCATTCCAAAGAAACTTGTCTGCGCATGCAGGCCTGCGCGGTATACCCTTCCCTAAAAGCATTATTTGGTTAAAAGGCTAATTTGATGATTCAGTTCTCGTTGCTGCCAGTGCGGACAATGGGTGCAGTATTTCATCCCTGGACTCCAGGGAAACGCTCCGGGGCCTACGCGTTCACCTCTTCTACAGTTTCCCGCAATGTTACCTCCGTACCTCTCCCCGTCCCGACAAAAAAATAGCCGGCACACAACACCTTTAAAGGCCAAACAGTAGTATTTGATCCACAATCAAACACTTTCTCGTCATGTTCACGAAACAGGCCTCCAGTTTCCCGAAATGTTACCTCCTCGCTTCTCCCCGTCCCGCCAAAAAAATGGCGGGCACACAGCACCGTTAAAGGCCAAACAGTAGTAATTGATCCACGCTCAAACACCTTCTCGTCCTGCTCCCAGGATTGGCCTCCAGTTACGGACAATTCACGCCCCCTCCGATGTCGATTGGAATGCGTCGTCAGGCAGCGCGCGCCAAGCAAGGGACAGACGGGACGCAAGGGCCAAAGACAAACGGCAGACAGCGGTAAATTTATTGAAGATGAAAAAAAGGTTGCCGATGTGGTTCGCCTCACAGTCGACTGTGAGGCGAACCACACTGATGATCATCAGTCGTGGGACAGCAGACCGATTACAAAAATGTCTCAAGACCAAGGACCACGACAAACTGTCCCGCCTTTTTGACCCAGCCAACAACCGTCCCGGAGCCCCCCGTGTCGTCAAAGCGGACGAGGACAAAATCATTAAGCAGCGCATTAAATACACTGCCTCCCGGGGATTTGCAATTAACAATTATACATTGCGAGCTATCATGGCTCGCATTGCCAATGATGGTCGACGCGGTTTTCAGACGAAGGACAACATGCCCTCCCCGGACGTTATTCGTACCTGGAGAACCCCAAACAGGGATATCACGTTTCCAACAGCCGATCCCACGAATCTTCTAATCCTAGTTACTCCCCGACTCCTCTAAATCTCCGAAGCACTGCGAATCCCTAAAGTACAAAAACCATCCTACTCCTTACTCCTGAATCCCCTGCCGGCCTGTGATCAGTGGCCTCTGATCACAGCTCCCCACTGATCACCGGTCCTAACTCTCAAAATTTGCACCCCAATTTGCAAATTTTATACAGCAATGACGATGTCGGACGACACCCCCTGCCGGCCTGTGATCAGTGGCCACTGATCACAGCTCCCCACTGATCACCGGTCCTAACTCTCAAAATTTGCACCCAAATTTTGCAAATTTTATACAGCAATGACGGTGCACCGGTTGACAAGGAGAGTGGGTGTATGGTGAGGGAAACGAAAAAGTTAAGGATCAGACTGGCTGCGGGAACTAGAGAGGTGTAGGGACACGGACTTCGAAAGGCGGGGATACATAACGTGCCCCCTTGCAACAAGCCCACAAAGGTAGCAGACCTGAATTTTGTTTGCAATAACGATACAGTTTATATGTCGCAACTACGGATATAGAGGCCGGCGCAGAGCTTATAGTCAGTGCATAAAAGTATGCAGAGCTGTGTGGTAGTACTAAAAACTGTTGAATAAAGACCAGAGTTCTTGTTCCGCACATATACTTATGCCTGACGTGGCGGATACCCTTCCTTTCGCCCCCACACTTGATAAATTCCACCGTCTGGGAGACTCCTGTGTTGTACTGCTGAGTTTGATGTGCATATGAGACACATATGGTCGTCGCTTTCGGCGCTGTCCTGCTCGCAGTAGTGCATAACTAATGCCTTTCGAACGTAGCTTCCAAGCTCAACCAGCGCTCTTCTTTCGTTTCGTTGTTGTATCATCACCCCGTATCCATCTTCTTCAGCTTCGCACTCCTTCACTGCGCAATATCGTGTTGTTTCTTGACTTTCTTTCTCACGAGCGTCCAGAATCCGGACTTGAACCACGGCTAGCACCATCCAGAACCTTCTGTCCTCATCATGCTCAGAATCATTGTTCTCATGAAGAGTGAATGTGAGATCAGGATCTGCGGTCGAAACTACAGAAGAATGCAAGGCTTGAATCACGCTCCCATAAGATATAGTGGCCAAAACAGATGTCTGGTCTCTTTTTCGCCCGTCTGTTATTTTGCACCACTTGGCAGTTCCATATATCTGTACGGTTACGGAATTTCCATGGTCCGGCCGGCCACTTCTAAGACGTAGCTTTTGTTTCCATAAATGCTCTAAAAACTCCCTTGCTTTCAACAGAAATGCAAGGTCAGTTGATTGGAACATTTCCGAATGTTGACCTCCGTCTGCAGTGTTTCCGAGGTTCATAATTACTGAATTGTCTACGCGCCAGTCCTTCCTACTAAGAGACGACGATAAGAGTCCTTTCCGATGTAATCGAAGGTTCTGCAGAACAGGAGTTGGGAAGCAGTCCTGAAGCTTTTGTAGAAATCTTCCCGCATCCTGAAGCCCAGAACTTTCGTAACCCAAGAGATTTAAAACCGACTTCGCTGTCTCAAAGCTCCAGCCGTTCTCACTAGTGTCAATGCCTTCAGTTTCAATTGCCAGACGAGTCTTCCAGTCGTTGGCAAGACGATGTTCCATAGCCTGTAATTGTGAGTTTTTCATATTGGATTGAGCTACCCCCCTCTTCAATGGCTGATGAGCGCTTTCAAACAACAACTCTTGTACATGTCTTACACTACCGAACAGTGGCAATGTATGTGTGAAGAACTCCAACAATCTGTGAAGGTTTGGTTTGTCCAAATGAGTGGAGGCAAAGCTGTTTGTGCGACACAGCTTATCTACTCGAGATAGATAATGAAGTGCCATATTACGAATCTCCAGAAGTCTCTTGGTTCCTCCTTCTTCATTGTGTGTGTCTAATGACCTCTTACCATCTATCCTTGAGTCCGGAAAGTACTGTGTTCTGCTCACGCGAGAGGAAAACAGGTCGAGGAGGTCGAGAGCTTCATCGATAGTAGCACAGTTTCCGCTCTCTCTCTCGCCTGTGATTTTGTTCACGTACCAAGCACTCTTCATCGCCCGTGGTGCTACCAAGAGCAGGCAGTACATAGACGATATCGTCATTGAATGTAGCACATGCTTGTCATGGTTGATTAGGCTCTCCTGATATATGAGATAGCCATCCTTCAAAGCCATCTTGGCAATTGCCTCGGCATCTTTGCGTACATCTTTTGGTAGCAGTGTTATACAGAGATTCATGATGTCGCGACCAATCCCGAGGAAAAGATGATCGGGAGCCACAACGCATGAGCGATACGAATCGAAAACAGAAGGAACAACCGGTTTGCTACTGCCGAGTACACGAGGCACACGAGCGCGAACTTGTCGCAGTTTCTCAGAGAGTTGATGAAGTGCCTGCAAACTTGTCTCAAACGTATCTGCGTCATCCATTCCGAGGGCTTTCAACTCTTCCCTGGATAACTTGGATCTCCTCAATGCAGTAGCCCGGTTCTCATCTCTCGCGAAAGATGGATGGTCGGAATGGATGAGGGTTGTGTAACAATACTTGCTTCCTTGAAATCTAGACTTGTCGTACCTACCATAGCTGCATAAGTGACATGGAACATTGGAGCAGTGCCCTAGTAGGTCCAAAGTGTGGGACACTGCAGGATAGTCTCCAACGTACCCGACGACATCGAGAAAAAGAACAACCTTCTCTCCTTTTGCAGTGGTCATCTCAAATCCCTTTTCTGTCCCCTCAATGATATCATCAATAACTGCCGCCAGTACCTCGTTTGTAGATACCCCTGGAGGAGTTAGCCCGATAGGTCTGATGGCTCCTGCTCCATTGCGGTTCTCCGGAGCCATACCTATTGGCAGCATGTATACACCACCCATGCTTCCTTTCTTTCCAATGTACGGCGTAAATCCATCAGAGTACAGAAATATTCTATACACAACGTACTTTCTTCCATCTTCCAAACGTCCACTGCTTTCCGCATCGACGCGATGACCCTTGTTCATTGGATTATCATCGGCAGATACTCGTTTCACTACGGCTTTGTCAAACATCTGGTTGTAAACGCCCCTATTCGTTCCGGTGAGATTCGAAACATTTCTTTCAGAAGATACAACCAAGCTGGTGGCGTAGTCGTCATCACAGTTCTGTCTTCTCCACATCCTATACACAAGGAAGGGTGTTTGCGTTGGTTCTTCCGAATCTTCGGCGTCTGGCTGTCCTGGGAGTGCAAGTTCGACGACCATGTCACTGGGAAGGAATGCCCGAGATTCTGGTCTCTTCGTCTTCATCGTTTTGGTACGCTTTGAATTGGACTCCGCCTGCGGTTCTGTCCAGTTTGGCTCATCGTAAACAAAGAAGGAAGATACAACTGCATCAAATCTCATGTTCGTTGAGGACGTTACTGCAAACTGGGCTTGCA